GAGAGAGAGAAAGAGAGAGGGGAGGAGACAGAGAGAAAGAGAGAGAGAGAGAGAGAGAGAGAAAGAGAGAGGGGAGGAGACAGAGAGAAAGAAAGTAAGAGAGGCAGAGTGAAAGAGAGAACGAGAGGAGAGAGAGAGAGAAGGGGACAGAGAGAAAAAGGGGGTGACCCGTGTATGATCGCATATGCCATATCTATGTCCATGTCCATGTGGGTGTAGATGCCATATTACACGACCCCGCAGACAGTACCGCCCTCCAGTAGTCGTATCGAACATCGCATCGCTCTAGCAGAAGATTTACAGACAAAAACTGCGTGCGAGAGCATCGTGGATAGGATCGCATGTTGTCTTTGCCTACCGAACGCCCATAAAGCTCGGAAAAGCACTTTTTACGAGCAACAATCGTCTGCCGTATTCCGGTACGCGCACAGGTTCTGTTAACCACCACGGGAGGGCGCTGTCTGAAATACCGTAGCTCTACGGTAATGATTAGTAACATTATTACATATGGAGGCGGTTACCGTTAACGTAAACTAAACGTTGACTCTACGAGTTACGGCTCCTAGTTGTGGGGTGCTACTGTTCTATGTTGTTCTAGTTGTGGGGTGCTACTGTTCTATGTTGTTCTAGTTGTGTGGTTCTACTGTTCTATGTTGTTCTAGTTGTGTGGTTCTACTGTTCTATGTTGTTCTAGTTGTGTGGTTCTACTGGAATAAAATTGTTTCTTATAAACTCATCAAGTCAATTATGCTTTTTGTTCGCAATGTCTAATTGCTTAAGCTGACTAGATAAGCATTTCAACGGTGTATACTTTCATTTACGTACGAATGGTAAACTAAGAGGAATCTAATAAAAGCTAAGAACAAATTATAGCAAATTAAAATCATATAACATAAATCACATTTTAGCAGGGTTTTCCTACACGATTTACTCACAGTTTCGTCATCATTTCGCTTAATTACGGGTACTTTCGTTGTTTGGTTTCTTTCAGTTCACATTCTATTTTTTTCTGATTGATTCCGTTCAGGAATAGAACGAGTAAATAACGTACACATGTGTGCGTAATGGTTAGACAAGCAACCGCTTCTTCTACTTGTGATATGTATGCCCTCTGCATCAGAACCGCCCTACCCATGCATGCACGTGATTAAGACCCTGTGACGCCACGCGTCTAGACTCTAACGTCTACAGAACAACTCCTGTATCGCCACGATGATGATGATGACGACGACGACGATGACGATGATGATGATGATGATGATGATGATGACGACGACGACGATGATGATGATGATGATGGTGATAATGATGATGAAGATGACGACGACGACTACGAAGACGACGACAATGATGATGATGATGATAATGATGACGATTATGATGATGATGATGGTGACGATGATGATGATGACGACGATGACGACGACGACGATGATGATGATGATGATGACGATGACGACGACGACGATGATGATGACGACGATGATGATGATGATGATGACGATGATGATGGGCGGTGCATCGACCCAGAACAGCCACGGCTCGATTTTTTCCCTTCCGATTTTCCGCCCGGAATCTTACTCTAACGGACAGACGGTATACCGGCAGATGGTATATGGCGGCAAGTTAAAACAGCTTTGCTATAAGATTAAAGCGAGTCGGTTTAAAACTACGGACTGTTGCTGTTTAACTTCAATTACCGAGCTAATATCGATGCACAGCCTCGTTGATGCTGAGCGTGAGTCGGTTGTTGTATCGCTCCTAACGAACACAGAAGGATATATCAGTGACAGATACAGATATCATCAGGAGTAGATAATAGAAGCCTAGCTAGGCGTCTTCTATTATCTACTCCTGATATCATCTATAGAAGCTCTTGCATTAACCCGCTAGAATGCTACTCGGAGCCGTTTATAAGTGAACTCACTTAAAACGGATCAACGTTTCAACGGACCAAAGTTTCAGCTAACCAACGATTTAACGTTTTTAACGTTTTAACGTTTTAACGTTAAACAAAAGTTGGTTTAACTGACCAACGTTTCAACTGACCAGCCTTTAAACTAACAAAAGTTTTAACTGACCAACCTTTAAACTGACCAACGTTTAAACGGATCAACGACCAACGTTTAAACGGACTAACGTTTCAATTGACCAAAGTTTCAGCTGATCAACTTTTAAATGGACCAACGTTTTTCAACTGACCAGCCTTTAAACTGACCAACGTTTAAACGGACCAAATACGTTTCGATGTATCGCGCAGGAGGCCGAGTTAAGAAACGCGTTCCTAACAATTGGGAATTCATTTCGCGGTGACCGAATGATAACAGATGCACGCCCTTAACTCGCGCAATTCGTCTATCCACCGATGTCGCGGTGTCCACATAGTGACAGCGGATTAGTGACTGCCGTTGTGCGAGAGAGAACAAAAACTATCCGTGTCGCTATTGCGTGCGATTTGCTAAACATGATCGGCCTAGTTTGTGCACGCGCACTGCCGTGGGAGCGCGTGTACACTCACATAAACCCGCGTTCTACTGCGATCTTAGACATTATTCACTCACTCATCGCTGCATCGCCACGGAGTTTTTACCCATTTTGCGCATGCGCACATCGCAGTCTGACCGCCACGGATGGTTATTGCCACAGAAATGTGACTCTGACACAAGCAGGAAACATTGAAGTAGAGAATAGTTAGCAAAGCTATTCTATAATTCACTTTAGACCGACTGCGTGCTATATGAAAATGAAGGGCAGCCCAGCACCAACCAAACCAACGTTGGAAAATCAATCTAAACACACTTATAATCACAGAATAGCCTAAGATTCCCAAGTAAATTATATGATTTTTACGAATAATACAATAATAGCAATAATTTTTTTATATATTTTATGTTATATTTTATGATTCGTCGAGAATCCATGGAGATTATAAGATCGAGAATTCAGCGCAGGGAATCTATGCGCGCACCAAGTGTTCTGGATCGTAGATTCGAGCAGGATCCGTGAAATGACGTGTGCCCCCCCCCCCCCCCCCCCCCCCC